TTTTACTGGTGGAGGAAATTCCGGCAGAACTTTGGCCGATAAGCATAAATTTTCTTGTAGTGTGTGTGATGATAAGGAGGCGCTATATTGGTGACATCAAATTGATTAACCTAGGGTAGAGAATATCATCATATTTTGATGTAGTAGTAGTAGTTGTTATTATTGTTGTTGTTATTATTTGCCTTGCCCCTCTCTACAATTGAAAGAATTGATCTTGAAGATATTCCATCCTATATATATGATCCATCGAAGTGTGTCATAAGTGGCTTTCACCAATTACATTATGTTGCTAAAACTTAAATTAGCTATCATTGTGAATTATGTCTAAACATATAATATAAATGCAAATTTAAATAAATTAAATAACTTATTTTGTTATTTATTCCCATGCTTTTACATTTTTTTTAAAGAATTTTGACTTGCAATTCATTTTTTGAAACTTAGATTTTTAGCAAATATTAACATCAAAATGTATCTCCTACCAAGAATATTGTAAAGATTCATTAGAATATATCATTGAATATATGCCCCCATTGACTTGACTTTATTGTACATTAAATTATAGATTAAATTGAGCGAGTTTATATCTTTGATTTTATTAAGACTCCAAAGTTTATAAAATATTATTTTTTTTCTAAATTTTAAGAGAATAAATGAGAATAAAACTATTAAAAGTTTGAGAAAACATATTTTATTTTAAAATAAATATAATATATTACAAATCAGTGAAATTACATATTATATTCATTTTTAAAAAAAATTAATTAAAATATCTTCTCTTTTTCTTTATGAAATTTATATAAAATTCACTTCTTTTGAGATCCAACATCCTTAAAGTTCTTTTGGCTTTATTTTTTTTTTTTTGGAAGGTTCACAATCACAGAACAAAAAACTTTATTATTTATAATTGATTTTTATTTATCATATTATATGATTCAGTTAAATATTTCACTATCCCCCTTTTTTTTTTAATAATGCTTGCCAAGTCATGGGAGGGTTTTGGATCGATCCAAACCATTCAATAATTCAAATTAATGTTGATCGTTGGATAAGATCATAGATCCTAGACCACTTTCTACTGTAGTGGAAAATGGGTCCCACCACCAAATTGGTTTAAATTGACAGCCCAATCATCAACGATATTATCGAGCTAAGTGATGTTAGCCTCAAAATCAATATCACGTGTAAAATTGGAAAATTATTATCTATGGAGTTCAGAGTTCATATTGAGAGAAAAGCTAAAGCGGGATAACCCAGAGAACGAAGGAAGAAGAAGCGGTAAAGGAAATTATGTTATTCATGACTAAACTGTGATACAGGGAGTGTATTTAATATAAAACCGATGGCATACTAGTAATACAGTAATTACAGAATTGTTAAATATGCTAATAGCCTCCCGCAAATTAAGCATTCAAGGGTCGAATGGTTAATTTGCTTTGAAGGTCATTAAATCGTGCCGGAGGTAGATGCTTGGTCAGAATATCAGCGATTTGATCTTTGGAGGAGATGTGGTGAGCTGAATTGATCCGGAGCCGATGTGTTCCCGTATGAAATGGTAGTCAATCTCGATGTGCTTCGTTCTGGCGTGGAAGACCGGGTTCTTTGCAATGGCGATGGCAGAGGTATTATCACAATGTATGACCGTAGGAGTGGACTGCGGGATGGTTAGTTCGGCTGCAAGTCGGCGGAGCCAAATGACTTCGGAGGTTGCTGCATATAAGGCTCGGTACTCGGCTTCGGTCGAAGATTTAGCCACCGTGTTTTGCTTTTTCACAGTCCAAGAAATGAGATTTGGACCTAAGAAAGAGCAAAATCCAGAAACTGATTTTCTGTCAGTGGCGTCAGATGCCCAATCGGCGTCGGTGTAGGAATGAAGTTCGAGACTGCCGGCTGAGATTGGGAGTCCGTGAGATAATGTTCCTTTGATATATCGTAGGAGTCTTTTAAGAGCTTTGAAATCCTGATTTGAGGGACTTTGCATATGTTGACACACCATGTTGGTGGCAAAGGCGATGTCTGGACGCGTGATGGAGAGGTATTGCAATGATCCAGCTAGTCTGCGGTAAAGGGTGGGATCTGAGAACTTTGTGCTGTCAGCCGGTGTTTTCTTGGACTCAGATACGCTCGGAGTAGGAGCAGATTTGCAGTCCGCAAAGCCTGCATCATTGAGAAGTTTCAAAGCATAATGAGTTTGGTTTAGGAAGTAACCGTTTGCTGTGCGAAGAACCTGAATCTCGAGAAATAAAGAAATGTCGCCGAGTTGTTTGAGCGCAAATTGTGACCGAAGTTGCTGGAGGAGAAGCTTGATCGCCTGCGCATTGTTCCCTGTGATAAGAAAGTCGTCCACATAGATAAGAATGTAAATTTGAATGTGATTTTTATTGAGTATAAGAAGGGAGGGATCGGAACGACTGAACCCAAATCCTTGAGCCTTGAGGAATCCGGTGAGCTTTTGGAACCACTGTCGCGGCGCCTGTTTTAAGCCATACAGAGATTTCCGAAGTTTGCAAACAAAATCCGGATGGCGTGCGTTTTGAAAGCCAGGTGGTTGGCGCATGTATATGTCGTCAGGTAAATCGCCGTGGAGAAACGCATTAGAGACATCAAGTTGTAGGACTTGCCAATTGCGATTTAGTGCAAGCGTTAGAAGAAGACGTATGGTAGACATCTTCGCTACCGGACTGAAAGTCTCCGTGTAGTTGATTCCAAACTTTTGATTATAACCGAGAGCCACAAGACGGGCCTTGTAACGATCAACCTGACCGTTAGGGAGAAGTTTCGTTTTGTACGTCCATTTACAACCCAAAACAGGTTTGTTTGGCGGAGCGGGAACCAAGCTCCAAGTTTCCTGTTTCTGTAAGGCATTAAATTCTTCATTCATAGCTGCCTGCCAATGATTGAATTTCACGGCTTGGTTATAAGTGGACGGGGTAGGCAGAGGAGTGATATGGGTGAGAAGGTTTAGAACTTGTTTCGGTTTTGAAATGCCGGATTTCAATCTAGTCTGCATGGGATGGGTTGAGATAGGTTGAACGGATAATTGAGGTGGGGTGATGGTGGATTGAATGGGATGTGGTTCGGAGCTTTGGATTAGAGAATTGTGGGAGTTAGGAGAAGAGATGTTGGGCAGAGAGAGAGAGGTGTTGTGGAGGTATGGGGAGAGCTCGAGTGAGAGGGACGTTGAGTAGCAGAGGTGTGAGATGAATTGTTTAGTGTAGGACTAGTGGTGTAAGGAGTGAGAAGAAGTGGCGGAGTGTAGTTGTTAGTGCTGGGTGAGCTTGTGTTAGTCGTGGAGGAGGCTGACTGGAACGGAAATTGCGTTTCGTAAAAGACAACATGGCGGGATATTAGAGATTTGCCTGTTTTGAGGATGTAGCATTTATATCCTTTATGTTGCGGTGAGTAACCTAAGAAAATGCATTCTTGGGATCTAGGAGCGAACTTGTTTGGTGCATAGGATTTCATCCAAGGAAAACACAAACATCCAAAAGTGCGAAGGTGAGTGTAAGTAGGAGATTTACCGTGCAGCCGTTGAAACGGTATTTGAAGAGAGATGGACTTAGAGGGGAGACGATTAATTAGATAGTGAGCAGTAGAGGTAGCGTCGGCCCAAAATTTGTGCGGCAGATTTGAAGCATGAAGGAGTGCGCGAGTAAGATCAAGAAGGTGCCTGTGCTTGCGTTCGGCGAGCCCATTCTGTTCCGGTGTGTGAGGACAAGAGAATTGTTGCTGTATACCGTGTTGTTGAAGAAACGATTTGAAAGAATTGCCAATGAATTCACCACCGCCATCCGAACGGAGAGTTTTGGGAGTGCTGTTGAATTGTGTTTTAATGTAATTACATAGTGATTGAAATTTTGAGAGAACTTCTTGTTTAGTATGCATGAAGTATAGCCAGGAAAAACGCGTGTAGTCGTCGACGAAGACAATATAGTAGCGGAAGCCTTCGACGGAAGGGACCGAAGCCGGACCCCAAACATCGGTATGAAGTAAATCAAAAGGCGCAGTAGTAACGGAAAAACTTTTATTAAAGACTTGCTTGTGGCTTTTGGCCATGTTACAAGAAGAACAAATAAAGGAAGAAGGTACAGAGGAGATTTCCGGAAAGCATTTGGCGAGAGCCGAGAGAATTTGGTTGTTCGGGTGTCCTAGCCGAGCGTGCCAAATGACAGAGTCTTTGGTGATAGCAGAGAGGGCTGTCGAGTTGGTGTCCGGAGAGAGTTGAACTTGATAGAGTTCGTTATGAAGACGCCCATGAAGAAGTGGACGTTGGTCCTGTATATCCTTAATAAGAAAACCATTAGCGTCAAAAGTTATAGAAACAGAGTTGTCAGTAGTAAGTTTCGAGACGGATAACAAATTATGCTTTAAATTCGGAACGTGAAGAAGATTTTGAAGACGAAGCTTACGAGACGTGTCAGGTAGAGGAAGAAGGCCTTGACCTGAGTGTTGGATCGGAAGAGATGTACCGTTAGCGACGGAGACGGAGTCGAATCCTTGGTAGTGAGTTGGGTACTGAATATTCTGAACATCTGGGGTCAAATGGGTTGAAGCACCTGAGTCGACGATCCAATCTTGCGGAGAGGTGGAGGTCGGATGCGCAAGAAGAGCCCGTGGTTGACGAGAATCGGTGGGAGCGTATTTCAAGTTGCATCGATGCCAACAATTAAGAGCAACGTGTCCGATCTTGCCACATATTTGGCAAGTCGGACGAGCGGTAGTGTTGGCATTAGACGGTGTGTTTTGATAGACCGGCGTGGCTGGATTGTTCGGAGGATTCTTTGGCTTGGTGAACCGTTTGTTGTAGCGGTTTCGATTTTGAGAAGAAGAGGAGGCGTAGAGAGCTGTGGTTTCCGTAGAGGTCTGCTGATCCATAAGCACATCTTGCTGAAGATGGATTTCTTCGTTGCAAAGAAGTGCATAGAAGGTGTCCAGATCAATCGGTTGAAGGGAATTGCGAAAATTAGATTTAAATGAATTGAACGTGGGTGGCAGTCCGTTCAAGATGTGCAAGATGATGTCCTCCGGGTCAATTTGGAGCCAGAGGCGGAAATATTATCAACCAAGGATTTAATCTTGGTCAGATACTGCCGAATGGATTGGTCCTTCATACGAATATGATACAATTCGTTTTTAAGCTGAATAACGCGCGAACGGCTCGACGGTTGAAGCCTTCTTTCAAGAACGGTCCAGGCCTCGTGAGTGGTCTTCGAAGTGATGATGTAGGGAAGAATTTCTTGAGAAATAGTAGAGAACAGGGCAGAAAGAAGATTACTGTCAATCATTTGCCAGTTGGTGTGATCGACGGAGGAAGTGTCGCCGGGAGCCGCCGTTGTGCCAAGAAGATGGCCGGCGAAGCCGTTGGCCGTGAACTGTTGCTGAAGTTGTAATCTCCAAATCGGGTAGTTATCCGACGTGAGAGAATAAGGAACCAAGTTCTTGAGATTGGAAACAAGAAACTTGAGATGTTGAGGTATTGTGGGAGGAGCGGTGCTGTTGCCGGAAGAATTGGTGGTGGAGGAGGTAGGCGGAGGAGGAGAAAGATCGGAATCTTGATCTCCCATCATGGCTCTTGATACCATGAGAGAAAAGCTAAAGCGGGATAACCCAGAGAACGAAGGAAGAAGAAGCGGTAAAGGAAATTATGTTATTCATGACTAAACTGTGATACAGGGAGTGTATTTAATATAAAACCGATGGCATACTAGTAATACAGTAATTACAGAATTGTTAAATATGCTAATACATATGACTTCTTTTTTTCTCTTTTGTACACACTGTATACAAGAGAGAATTTAAAAAAAAAAACCTATGTGACTCCGTTGATTGGAATCAGGATGAAAGATTACATTTGGATTCTGTACATAATAATCTCTCGTGAAATTGAGATGAGAAATTCAGTTATTCTTTTTAAGTATTTCTATATATTAAAAAAATATTTTTTGTGCAATGAGCTCATCATTTTTTAAATATATTTTAAATATTAAGATTTATTTTAGATGTTTTTTTATTTTCAATAAAATATTTTTTAATTTGTGAAAGAATGCTAATTAGGTTAAATTCAACATATTTAATCTAAAATTGACTTAAGTGAATAATTATCAAGCATTTGAAGACCTAAATTTCATAACCTATAAATGTGTAGTTTTTATGTTTCATTATTTTTTTCGAAATTAAATTCATGATCATCTAAATTCTGAATCCAACAAACTTATAATTAATCAAACTGATTGGCTCAACAAGACGAGCCTTAATGACTCCAAAAAAGTCCTGATCTCAGTCCAAACAAAAACTCAAACTAAAAGCTTGAAGCATAAAAAAAAAAAAATTTAAAGCTTGAAGCATAATAAGAAACTTTAGAATATTAATTGGAGAACCATGATCTTCAAATCTGATATGCTTATTGTTAAATTAAGTGTCTCCGCAAGAAGAATCCAACAAGCCTAAGATCATTTAATTCCAATAAAATTAAGGGACTTAAAAGTTGAACAAACGCTTTATGATCAAAGAAAATAATACGAGCCATCCAATAAAGTATTTCAAATTAATATGCTTTTTTTTAACTATTTAGCAGTTAAAATAAAATTATGCATATTAATTTCAATTAAAGGTCATACTAAAATTTATATTAATATTTTTTCAATATAATGATAACATAATTTCGTGAACATAATATGTAATTAAAATTTTATATTAATATTTTAAAAAATATTTAATATAAATGTTTTGAAATTGGTTCCAATGATTATTTTAATATTTTATATAAATATTATTTTAGTCACATTAATCTAAAGTCTGGCAATCACAGTAATTTCTTTAGTAGAAGATTATTTTTAAAAATGCAAAATAAATAAATAATTCAAGTCCTGTGCTATTATGGCTAACTAACTTGCTGGCCAACAACAAAGATCTCAAAATTATGAACGCGACATTATTTATTAAAAAATAAATAAATCTCCAAACAATATGATCTGATAATCTTATCGTTGTCAGTGAGAAGTTATTGGATGGATTAGCTTTGTCGCAAACACCTATTGATCGATCATAGGATGCATGGATATAATATGTTGATGTGGATGTGATGATGTGATGATAATATAATATAAGTACAAATTATTGAGGAGAGTTCACAAAATTTATGTTATAGTAAGTAATATTTGAATTAAAAAATTGGTAAATAAGTTTAAAATTATCTCAACTCTGATTTCAATAAATTTATAGTTGAATCGAACGTGTCAACAAGATGAACATAGCGATACTATAAATGATCTGATCATACTCCAAATGAGCATGAATCATGCACTTGAGTTATGTTTTAAAACTTGTGAATAATAATTCATGGACAATATGACATTCATTCATAGCATGCTTATAGTTAAATCTACCAGGTCAATAAGATGCGCCTAATGAGCCCAAGATCACTCAATTCTAACATAGTTAAAGTATCTGAATGTTTGATAAATGATCTATGACAAAGAGAATTAATATGCATGAATCAATGGACTGCTTCGAATTCTAACTAAATTTACCAAAATGCTTATGACAGCCAACAACCACCACTAGCAATTGCAACCATCATCGCTAGATTTCTTTCAACATTTAACCCCATTGTTGGGTCTTAATTGTACTTATGTGGCCACCAAACTTCTGTAATCCCAATAATGGAAATTGAAAAATGATTTAGTAAACACTCTCATCTTCTTCAATTGTGAGGACAATACGATTCTTATATTTTATACTCATAATGGATTATTGCAACTAGTATGGACCTCATGATTTTTCCCCTTCTTGGGCTTTCCACATAAATTATTTTTGGTCTCATACAACTTTTATTTGTGCATGTTGAATTTTTTGTCGAAAACTAAGATATAAAACACATACTCAAGTAACACAAATTTTTTAGTTATATACATGTATATACATGTGTGTGTGTGTGTGTGTGAAATTCAAGATAGCTCAATGGGATGATTAATCCTAAAACTCTGCTAGAGCACCATCACTGGAGTATCTTTGGTTAATCATCACCAAACTATTACACAAAAAACACTATCGAACAGTCACTATAAGACCACCACTCAATTGTTGTTTATAGACCACTACCCAACTTAGTGCTTTAACCACCATCCTCCAAATATGATCCAATGACCTAAATCATTCGATTACGATCCTCCAATAATTATCGTATGACCACTGACCTCCGACCTCCTCACCCAAATATGTTTCTTCAACCACCATTGCACTATTACTATTCTTGGTCATCATGGCCTGATAATAATCCCTTGATCGTATTTGCATGATTATAATCTAATTATCATCGTCACCAAACAACGGTCTTCTAATCCCCATCACCTTATTACATTCCTCCGACCTCCATCACTTGACTATATTCTCCTAGTGATACCAATAAACATAATCCTAAAACTCTACTAGAGCACCATCAATGGACTATCATTGTTCAACCATCACCAAACTATCACACAACCACTATCAAAAAGTCACTATCAAACCACCACTTAATCATTGGTAATAGACCACAACCCAACTTAGTCCTTTAACCACCATCATCCAAATATGATCCTATAGCCTACATCATTTGATTATGATCCACCAATAATTATGATTTGACCATTGTCCTCCAACCTCTATAACCCAAATATGTTTCTTCGATCACAATTGCATAATTACTATTCTTGAGCCATCATGGCCTGAATATAGTCCCCTGATCATATTTGACTTACTACAATCTAAAGATCTTAATCACTAGACTATGGTCCTCTAACCCCCATCAACCAATTATATTTCTCCAACCTCCATCACCCGACTATATTCCCCAAGTGATACCCATAATTTAAATTAGATCATGAAACAAACATAAGACTCTTATACGTCTATTTTTTGTTAATATATTTTATAATTACAAGTTTGGTTGATATTATGCTCTAAAACATCTATTAAATATAATTTATAAGTCATTTTGATATTTGAATAATGTTATGGCTGTTAAGCTATACAACCCCTTAAATTTTTATATATTTTTATCAACATTATTCAAATAAAAATTTTAAAGTCATTATAAGTCCAATTCATATACCTTTCTTATCACATCAATAAGAACGTTAATTATAGATGTGATTCAGAGCATATGCATTTTTACATCTCTGTCGAGTTTATAGAGGTGAAAAGGATATCTACTAACCTCCTGCAGTTATAATACCTCCTTAAAAAACTTAAAATATTCTATATCTTATGTCTAGGCATGCAAATATTCTATCTCATTATTCTTAATTGTTCTTACATTCCTCCATTAAGGTTATTTATGACACTAAATTTTAGTCATTATATGCATTAAATTAAGAATGGGATAATATTGAAAATAGCATTCAACCTTTATTGAATAATAATTTTCATTAGTACTTAACAAGAACTTTATATCATCAATCTAAAGTAAGAGAATTAGTCATACATAAAACAAGAGAGTGATATCATCAGAAAGAATCAAAGTATCTTCTTTATACTCTTTCTTCCTTAACTTATAGAGTTACTTCAAGAAATACAAACTTGTATCTTGTACTTCTCTCACCTTTATTAGATTTTCTCTAAGAGGTAACTAGAAAAGTACTCTAAAAAGAAGTACTCAATTTTACACAGGTGAATGAACTCCCTTAAGAATATAATATCACAACTATTTATAAGAATAACATAAAAAGGCTTCTAGCGCTACGACACCTGAAAGAGTGACACTAGAATGCCATTGAAGTGTACTAACACCTCAGTACTGAAACTTTTGCATTGTCCCAACACTTGTTAACATGGATTAGTTACTTAATGAATAGTTACATCTTTTCACTATGAAAAGGTGGCCCTTGGAAGTTATAACTGTAATGTCGTGGTGCTGTTGACATTCAAGCATTGTGGTATCTGAGTGGAAAAAAAGGCATTAAGGTGTGAGAAATTATGTCACTACGACATTTAAAAATAGAGAATTGCAAACACCATTCTGTTTAGTATGATGGTTATTAGAAACTTTTTAAAAACCAATATGAATGCTTAATAAATGATTATTTGAACATTTAAATAAATAAGTGTGATTTGCTGAGCTACGTTAGCTCATAGTTTATCTATTTTTTGTTTTAGGGTTTTGAAAAATGAAAGAGTCAGTTGAGTAATAGAGTCAAGATTGAATTTGTCTGAGTTTATATAGATATTTCTTTTTTCTATTTTTGTACAATCATAGCTAGTTATTTAAATTGCTCTATTTTGTGGTATATTACATAGTTATATACTACAGTATAATTATGGTAGATGCACATTAATGAGAAATGAAAAGAAATTTTATGGTTAAGTTATGTTCTTTGTATTGATAGTTATTAATAACTTTGTGGTTTATTATTTATTTTAAGTTTAATTAAAAGTAAAAAATCTAAAAAAGTTGTCACAAAACTCTGATCTTGGGTTGGCCTATTACAAATTAACATGATATATAGGAAGTATTCCATCTACGGGATATATTGGGTTGGGTTGAACAATTTTTGCACAAGACTCTCTAAAGTTCTTATAGGCAAGTGCC